AGCTTCGTTTTGGGGTGGCTGGTAGCAGGTAATGTTTCTCCAGGGAATCAGGTTTGGGTCGTTGCGCGAACCATGAGAGCCACTGGATGGTAAGGCCAAGCACATGGTCTTCCAAAAAAGAACAATCACCTCATGCCCAAAGGACCTAAATTCACCAAAATTAGAGAACCCAAAAGGGGACAAGCCAAAAAGCGTAGTTTCGTAGTGACGGGTTGATCCCAAAAGTCGGACCATGGTAGACGTGCTGCATTCCATGCTCACAATGTGGGAAAACAAGCCGAAATTTGTGATACCAAAGTGGGACGCATCCCCACGCCTACTTTATCACCTTGGTATCACAGAAAGTCGCCCGAAATCCCTATTTACGCATATCAACTTAGGATTTGGTAAGTTATCAAATTGGGATCCCCTCCGGTCCCGTCCCACTCAAACCTTTTGTTTTGACGCATATGAGCAAGCAATCCACAAGCGACAGGACGCATGACCGAAGATACCAAGGGCCACCTCGAACGTCTGGTGCGGGCACTTCGAGATTGCCAGACTGTACTCGCTCTGCTGGGGCGAGCGCTTTCACAAAGAAATACGTCCTCTTTGAAGGCTAAAGCCACTTGCGGAGCAGGCCCTGTTGGGATCCAAGCCTTGCCCGTTCTGGCTAGCTCAGACACGGCGGCATGACAAGCAGATTTACATCTGTCTAAGTTTCTCCTCGATGTTGCTACTGTCTCCTCCAAACTCTGGGGCGCCCCAGGTCACGACTCGCCCATCAGCCAAAATCGCAGCAAATGCGCGCGCTGAGGCCTGAATCTGCCGCACGTCTTTCAGCTGGCTTTGGACACTGCTGCTGTCACCCCCTTGGTCTGGATCGCCCCAGGTCACACATCCACCCGGCAAAATGGCAGCAAATGCACCTTGAGAAGCCTTAATCTCCTGCACATCTCTCAGCTGATCTGATACGGAGCTACTGTCCCCTCCCCAGATCGGGACTCCCCAAGTGATCACGCGTCCATCCGTCAGGACCGCTGCAAAGGCATCGTACGACGCTTCCATCTGCTTGACATCTTCCAAATCTGCGCCATCATCGCCGCCACGGTTTGGATCCCCCCAAGTGACAACAACTCCATCACTCAAAATCGCGGCGAAAGCCGCGGGAAACGCTACAACCTGCTGGACATCTTTGAGCTGATCCTGGACATAGCTGCTGTCACCTCCTTGCTCAGGAGCACCCCAGCTGACAACACCTCCATCCTGCAAAATGGCTGCAAAGGCAATCTCAGCTGCCACAACGCAACGGACATCTTGAAGCTGGCCTTGAACAGCAGTGCTGTCACCTCCTGCGAAGGATCGGCCCCAGGTGACAATATGTCCATTGGTCGAAACGGCCGCAAAAGCAGACTCGGAGGCCGCAATCTGCTGAACATCTTTCAGCTGATCTTGGACAGAGCTGCTGTCACCTCCCCACTCTGGGTTGCCCCATGTCACCACATGCCCGTTCGCCAAAATCGCGGCGAAAGCTCCTGCAGTTCCCACGACCTGTCGAACATCTTTCAGCTGATCTTGCGCGCTGCTGCAGTCACCTCCCAACTCTACAGCCCCCCAAGTCACAACACGCCCATCCGTCAAAATCGCAGCCATCGCCTTGGGCGAAGCAACCACCTGCTGCACGCTCCTCAGCTGATCTTGGACCCTGCTGCTGTCGCCGCCCGTTTCAGGATCACCCCACGTGACGACACTTTGGCCATAGCACCATAGCGCGAACGCACCATGAGATGCCGCAACCTTGGGCTCCTGGGCAATGGCAGTCAAAGTGACCCCATCATAGAGGCCTGCATCCTGAAGGGTTTCTCTTCCGCCATCAAGCAATCTTCCATCTCCACGCATGCACTGCAAAAAGCGCATCCCCAATGCATCTTTGGCGGCTCCTTTCAACTCCGAAACACTTGAAGTGGAAAGTGCAATAAGACTTACACTGCACCCACTTGCCAAAGTCACTTGGATTCTCCAGCTTGCAGCACCTGTATGCGTTAACTCTGGTTTTGCTTCCATGGCGGTAGGGCATCGACAAGAGCGACTGACACCAACACATTGTACCGAATGGCACTCGATGACAGTAGTCATCCGTTGCTTTTTGGAAATCTGACCAAACTTTCTCTTGACACATGATGCCTGCCTGGTTGGACAGTGAGCAAAAAATGCAAACCTGGACTGCTCGACACTTGCTGTGCCGCAAACTGCAGGAGGACACTACTGTGGATGCACCAGTTCGGATGCATGATGTTAACATCTAAAGGAAAACCGATATTGGCTAAAGACCGGGTCCATGAAGATGACATCCTCAACATCATCCAGAAACGGCAGCTTAATGGCCCCCCCCCAAACAATGCTTGCTTTAAGGGGCCCATACATCAGGTGCTGATTTTTTGGGTTCGACCCTGACATCTTGGGCTTCGCGACTTGGAAATCCAAGCTGTTCAAGTCAGGTTGGTCTGTCCGAACACAGACTTGCACGATGGTCCTAACCGAAACCTCAAGGGGAGCCAGCCTTTACCAGCCTTGCGTTTTCAGGGGAACTTCTAGTGTAAGGGGGTTGAGCATGAAATAATGGCCCCTGATATTAGTAATAGCCCACCTCCAAAACACGCACTGCAACCCCACATACCAGTATGATGGAGATTTAAAAAAAAAAAAAGAAGAAGAAGAAAACTGAACACGTCCCTGAACGACTCCTTGATATGACCCCTTATGTACTCTCGCAAATACCCCTATATACTCCAAGCCCTCCTCACACCCACCGATAGAATCCCCACTTGCTTTCTTTTTGTTTTCCGTCGCGGGCAAAGCGATGTGCCGCACCAAGGGCGTGAAAAGCCGACCTGCGACAAGATGCGGCTCCCGTTGCGTACCCATAGCCCAACTCATGGATCCTTACATACATTTTGAGTGGAAATGAAGCCTTTGGTAGACATCGGGATTTCAAGTACCTGAGGCCCCTAAAATGTTATTTTTTCAGCACCACTTGGAAAAATGATGTTTTTCCGAAAATTTGAGCACCAGATCGGGTTTTTTAGCACCAGAACGGCTTTTAGATCAAGGTGATTTCGCAACACACATTTTTAGTTTTACGTAAAATGCACGACATGCGAACGGTTCGCGAACGGTTTGCGAACGGGTTTTGAACGGGTTTTGAACGCTTTACGAACGGTATTTCCAACACCAAATCCTAGGCACGGCCCATGTCATGACGCAAAAAGAACGTAAACATGCAACGGATTATGCAAAAATAATGCAATCGATGGATTCCCAGCAAGCGACATCAGCAACATAAGGTTCGGTCTGCTCCGCAAGCCCGAACGGTTTTTGTAGCACCAGTGTTGAGATTTCAACACCAAGAAGGCAAAACGATCATTTTCCTGAAAATCGATCAAATTCAACAGTTTTTAGGGCAGCAGGTACTTTCCACGTTGTTTTCCGCGGAAAGGGAACGGCATTTGCTTAACATTCGGACTTTCATATTCTTTCTGAGGGCGGATGTTTGCTCCAGGTCAACAAATTGGGTGAGAGGCCGCGGATCGTTCTTTCAACTGGGGACTTCTTGGCTCGTTGGTGGGCTCTCCCCAAGGTTTAACGAGTTGGACTGGTTGTTTGGCGCTGCCTTGGTTTCAAGTGGCAAAATCCCGTATATAACCATCCCAATCACCGGAGCTGCAGCTTCCAGTGGGAAATGCTCAAACATCCAAATCACTGAGTGGTTGGATGAAGCAATCCTGAAATATCCTGTCCGCTGCTCCGTGCAGCACAGCTTGGCTCGCGAGGTAATCCGAAGCGGGCAGTCAACTTCCGAAGCCGCTTCTTGGCCACATACGGTTGCATGGAGGCAACTGGAATTACTCGCATAGAGGCAGATCCAAATATTTGTCCACTGGGGTCTACAATTCCCTTGGCTGGATGAAGGGGGTGGTTTGCGGGATATAATATGGCAGTCTGGTGTTCTTCCTTTCTGGTCATTTGCCAAAATGTGCTTCCACCATGACTCGCTTGCCCAAAGGACCAGCAAGTTCTTTGCTGGGAAATAAGGGGTCTGGAAATTTGCAACAATACCCATCCCCTTTTGGTGTGTCTACGGGGTGACCTGGGCACTGCTCATGTGACCATGGTGAAACTTGTTCTGGGTCCTGGGCATGGTCACGGTTCCTAGAAGAGGAACCTTTATGTTGGTAGCCTAAACTCCCGCAATTGAGGAGTCGAGCACCATACCAGCCCCGAGTGGGTTCAGACCTCGGAAAATGATCTGCCGAGGTGTTCGATTCAGGAGAGCATCTGGATTACTTTTCGGGGAAATTCGACAAAAGAGATAGATACAGTCGATCCCACTGGTAAAATGAGACGAACCATTCTGAAACCAGGGCATCCATCTATTTTCACCCAGCCGACGACTAAAAGAACGCTCAGGACTGTCACCGGCACGCGAAGCTGCTGGTGTTCATTGCTTTCACTTTAGATAAGCCCCACCACAAAAAAGGAAGTGTCAACTCAGAAAGGAAAAACAACACGTACCCAAATCAAGAAAACAAATCCAACCCATCCAGCTGTTGCGGGTGATTTTGCGGGCGAGTTCATCTTCTTTCGGTACCATTCGTGTCTCAAAAAAGACAGTGGAACGAGCATCCGCGTCCCTTTGGTCTTCAAATCCCCCACCCAAAAAAGGGAAATGAGTCCTTTAAAACGAAGACTTCTGCGCACCTTCGACTAAACTTCCTGGGTTTATGGCCATCCCTAGTAAGCCCAAGTAGGTCTTTAACCTGGGCACATACAACTGGCCTTTTCACCAAGGGCGTTTCCCTTCAAACGACAGATGAATAACCTGCAAAAAAGGCCATTGTAAAGGAAGCTCCTTCTGAGAAATGGACCCCCCTTTTGGGGGTGCATTCCGTTTTGCCACCAAAAACGTCGCGTGGGGTATTTCGCGAAGCGGCTCAGCCCGCGTTCTTCGGCCGCCGTTCGCCTCAGGGCGCAGCACCTAGGAGCTCCCTCTTCATGTCGTTGCACCTCAGGCCCAAAGATTGGCCCAATCGACCGATGGGGAGACTCGGTGGCGAACTCTGCTCTGCGAAAAGTTTAACTTTTAGTGGTTTAATGGAGAACCCATTAGTCGGCAAAAAGTTAAAGTCCTAATATCCAAGCAACATGCAACAAAGGATATGTTTTGGGATAAAGCGGTTTCTCATCAAAGTGCAACTGGCCGAACATCCTATGCTTCAAAGGTTGCATGGTGATTCAAAGAACAGCATCTTATCTTGGATCTTCCCATGGCAGTTTCAACAATTCACGTTTCGCACGCACACACCAGAGAAAAACATGAGATTGGCTCATATGGAAATCGCCGGGGCAGTTTCGGTGGCGGGCGCCACCAACAAATGCATGCATGTACGTATTTCGATCATTGTCTGTTTTGTGGGTGAGTTTGCCTATTGGTGTACCATGATGAATTGGTGACTTATTTGTTCATTCATGTACCGGTCGTGATCATGTCCCTTGAAGACCAACATGAGAAAACCACAAATGACCTGAAGCAAACCAAATGGAAGGTACGGCTTCCAGAAAGTTGAGCCACACAAGGAGTACTCCCTTGGAAGCGAGACGGTACTTCCGCTGAATCCTTTCTTACGACCAGTTGGACTTCATAGCTCCAATGGTTACCTCTTTTTTTTTTGGGGGGGGGGGCAACCATATGGTAGCCTGAAAAGGACAAGCAAGCCGCTTGTACCTATTCACAGCATCAGGTTGCCGTAGGCTTTAGGGTCCCTTGGTCCAAGCCGAGGGCTTGCTTTGAAAGGGCTCACGGGAACCGATGACAACAAAAAATGAGTGGCTTGCCTGAGATCCAGTGGGGTCCATCCAGCTACTGTTGGAACCCCTAGTGTTTAGATGGTTTCCACTACCACCCCTCCCCAGTGGATATTCCCTCGATGTTCTGGCTGAAAAATGGCTCAACAGACTCAAAAGTGGTTTGGCGTCAGTGACAACCATCTTAGATTGGGCCCCCCCGCTCCCGCGAGACCTCGCGGAAGATGCGCCGCAACTCGTCCGCCTGGCGGACGGTCGACAGTAGCCCATAGGAGCTCTCCAAGCCTCCTCCAAATGGATGAACGGGGTCGGGCAACCTCCTTGTTGAAGCATCTTCAAATGATGCTGGTGTAATTTACGCAACTTCCCTTTAGTTTCCCTACATGGACCCTTTTCTGTGCCCAACCCTGATGCGCATGGATTCACTGTTCGAACTAACCAAGGTACCAAGGGGGTCTGAAACAGGAACTGGTAGTGGTACAAGCCATGACCTGCGGAGAAACTATACCCTTTGTTCAACAACCACGGAAGTTGACATGATGTTTGTTCAGGTGATGGTAGTCTTCCAAACTCCTTCTGTGCACTTCAATGATTGGTGGATACGCAGCGATGTGTTTCAATTCGAGACTCATTGGTGGACATCATAGAGACAGTTTGGAGGTTGTTCCACCCATACAAATCAATTGCCACGAGCTATGAACGAAGTTTGACGCCCCCTGCAGAAGGAGGAAAGCTCAAATGACCATTGTGCATTGCACACGGGCAAAACAAGGTAAATTTGTGTCTGTGCCACGATCAACAGATGTTGCTGCCAGAAAGCACATGGGAAGCACATGGCTTCGTCAAGCTTCGTGATCAGTTTTGTGTCAATATCTAGCAAGTGCCCCCAAGTCCCTAATGGACTCTAGACTGATTTTTCTGACTGAGACTCATTCAAAGAACCGCAATGCCGCAGATCTCAGCAATGTCCCTGCATCCGCAGAGCAAACACGCATCCAAGATGCCAAGCAGCAAAATCCCGTGCATCAAGCTCTGAAGCACGGTCTATAGCAACTAAGCAGAGGCACGCAGGCGGGCAAGCAAGCTGGGGCGCAACCATAACTTCCTCACATGCGTCCTTTGAACAATTGGAACCCTTAACATTTGCAACCAGCATGCCTCAGGCAGCGATCAAACCCAACCAAAAGAGGGTCGTCAAGTGAAAGTGACTGAAAACAAATGAAAAGGAAAAAAACACCTCACCCAAAAAGTCGGCCACCCGGACCCGGTGTTTTTCGCAGCCTCAGAAGCAAAAAAAAACAAAAGACATGAGGACCTCTCATCTCGTCCGTCGCCTCCGTGGGGGGCGCCCCGTCCAGGCGCTCGCCCAGCGCCTGACGAAAAATCACTTGGAATGAGATGTGGTCAAAACCGTTTTGGGATCCCATTTTGTGAGGTGATTCCAGTTTTGGAAGTGGGGTGAGTTGTTTGGTCAAAACCACTTGGAATGATGCATTTTGTGGCAGGATGCTCACTGGGTAATCGGGGTTTTGACCCACGGCCAAAAGATTTCACACCCAGACCAACAAAAAATAAGAGACATCTGTGGTGGTTCTACTCCACGACTTCCCTTTGGGTCCAAACTTGGCAGTCTGTGCTGTTTCTACCATCAAAAGAGCAAGCTTTGAAGGAATAGAAAAAGTGCAGGTTCGCTCTAGGGCTTGACATATGGGCAAACTTAACCGAAGCCGGCCTTAAAGGATTGGGTTGGAACCTCAAAATGGCCTCAGCACTGCTTGGATTTGGGGTGTGGGCTTGGTTGGCGCCTATCACAGCAAAGCCCGCTTCAAATGGGGCTGTTCCTTTTCTGGAGACTCATCGCTTTGCCCCACGCAGGGCTTGGAAACTCACCTAATCGGGGTCCTTTGGTCTGACTGACACTGACATAGCTACCTGCCGATTTCGTGGCGAAGGTCTGTTCAGTGGGAGCTTGCATGGAGTTCCCGGGACACACTTCGTCCCGTTTCGGAAAAGGACGCCCGTAAGATGGGCCCCTTTTTCCCCTTTGTTCCGGTCCCCATGCAAAACAGGAGGCACATCCAATATAGCCATCGCTCAAGCAACCTCAAACAAGGACTGAGCCTGGAGAGGAGAGCTTAATGATCAGCGCAACCAGTTTGGCCCCTTCAAACGTTTTAGTTAAACCGGCGGGATTTGTCGTTTTAGTGGTCTCCTTAAGGCCTCAAGCCTTTGCAACCGCCGGTTTCCAACCAAAAGTCAACAAATAGCGTTCGGCCCCAAGTTGGGGGGGGGAACCAGATACGTTTCCGACAAGGCACTAAAACGTGGCCCTGGTAGGGCAAAGGGATTCATGTCCACCAACCACTTATGAGTTGGTTGCTTTCCAAAACAAAAAAGACTCTCTGCTTTTGGAAGGTCCCGCGTTTTGCTTTGGAGTAGCCCCAATAAGCACAGCGAAGCCCAATTTGGTTCCACCAGCCCCCTTTGAAATGTCTGCAGGGAAGACCAATCGCCTGCAAGCGCGCGCTCCAGCTGTTGAAACCGCCAGTGGCCCGCGCCTTACGGCACGGCACGGCCACCATTTCTCTGGAGACAAAAGGAACGGGCCCCAGGGGTCAAAGCCTTGGCCTTGGCCGTCTTTGGCCATCGGCCAAATTTCCCCTGAAAAGCTTAACGCAGATCCAGTTGGACCCCCTCTGTGTAGAAACCTGTAGGGCTGCATCCTGTTTCAAGCAAGCAAGCAAGCAAGCAAGCAAGCAAGCAAGCAAGCAAGCAAGCAAGCAAGCAAGCAAGCACGCAAGCAAGCAAGCAAGCAAGCAAGCAAGGACATCGTGCATGTGCGGATGGGACAACTCTATTTGTGGACAGGGTCCAACACAAACAGGGCCCTTGGTGGCGGTGGCGGTATCCTTGTGGACCGTCCAAGGGCATGGTCAGGTATGGAGGTGAGGAAGGACATGCAGTACGTACATTAAGGGGTCCAACCTGCTTCTCGCAAAAAAGGCGCGGGAAACAGCTGGGAGCCACTTCTGTTTTACGGCCTGAGGCTCCATTTTCCCGCTGGGGCTGCGGGCCAAGCACGCCGCGTAATCGCCCTGCCGGGGGGCCGATAACGCACTACATCCTGGTAGGTCGGACCCATTTTCCTTGGTTTCTAGTAGGTAGCCCAGGCAACAATAGGCAACCACCCTTTCGTATGCAACCACTGAATCCCAGATGTTATACCTTTTTGGAAGACCCTCCTGCGGTAGTGGCCGTGGGTGCAACCCTATTCATCAAACAACCTCCCTTTGAATTTCCCTGTCAAGAAGACCAGGGGCAGGTTGAAACACCTTTTGCAACCTGCAACCAATCCTCACATCAGCGAAGGTGGTTGCTGTCCTCTTTCCCTAAACCACCCAAACCAAGTTACCCTACTTCGAGACATTCTCCTTTAGGAAGCCTAACTCAACAGCTAGTCCAAAATAGAAAATTACCTCACGATTCCCCCCTCCAGCTGGCTGTATCAGAAAAAGACAACTAAGGCATCTGATCCCCAACTAGTGTTGGGAAACATTCATCATGCAACGCCAATGGTTACTTCAGCTTTTGCCCCAAGGGGAAAACTAGGACAATCGAAAACTTGCAGGAGTCGTGTGAACCTGCCAGGCGACCCTTTGAGTTGCCCGAAAACGGGGAAAACAAAAACAAAAAACGTCAGGGCGAATGCTTAGACCCAGAAGCTGGTTTTGTCTTGCTTCCTTTGGCTCCTCTTAACGCGGTAGACAAAGAGGAATGGGTTTGTCTCAAAGGCGGCCCTTCAAATTGGTGGCTGTGCCTTTGGCTTCCCTTCAAAACCCAAGACATGGCTCACTTAACAAAGACACGCCCAAATATGCTTCCCGGACGTGCCCCGGACCCCTCAACCATGTTTCCTGAATCCGTAAAATGCGCCCTTGTGTCCAGTGGAACACAGTGTTCTGTCTCAAGGCGGGGGAACCCCAAAAATGGTGCCAGTTTGGTGTCCATCAGAAACAACCCTGGCGTGCCCTTGGCTTCCTCTCGCCTTGTCTGCCAGATTCAAGAGCACATGCGTGCAAGTCCGTACCTTGCTGTGGTTCCAATAAATCCTGACCCCCTCCAAATCGCTGGTCCCCTTTCAGTTCCTTTCAGCTCATGGATCCCTTGCTCAAAGTCAAACTGGGGCATGTCTCTCCCTCCAGACTTCAAAAGCCTGAGATGCAGCTCCTGTTTGCCTTTCGGCTCCCTGCAAACCTCTGGGGTTTTCCCGGTCAAACCCGGGTGAAGCCACCAGACCGGCCTCCGTGTCGGCCTGCAGCACCGCCTGTGCCAGAGGTGGTGGCCAAATGTCTCGCCTGAAAAACGAAAGTGGTGGCGTGGTTTGTTTGTTTAGCATTTTTCAAACGGTCTATCATCTTTAAAGACAAGGTCTCTCCCTTCCAATGAGCTTGTGATGTTTTGCTTCTTGGTTGCTTTTTGCCATGCTCCGATAGGGCGGAAGGCGACTTCAGTCAAACCAAAAAAAGTCCAAACAAACTTGCTGGTTCGGCGGGCAGGGCATGAGTTGGAATGACACCGAATTGAACCATCCAACTCGTCGTTTTCTTCAAGCAGATCCCGGATGCGGCCGCTTCACACTGAGAACCAGAGAGAAGAAGCCACCCTCATTTGACACATTGTGACATACCCCACAGGTCAAAGCAAAGAGCAACCTGTGCTTTGGAAGACTCCAGAAGCCGAAGGAAAGTTGAGGCCGCCGAAACCCAAAACCAACAGGATTGCGGCGAAAGATCGAATGGGTGGCTCTGTTCCAAATGTTTGTGGTTGGTTTTAATGGGAAACCAAAAAGGACCACCACCCATTTTGTGAGCCCTATTTCGAGACACACCCAAATAGGTATGAGGTTGAATTGGCCATTTGGACATTTGAAAATGTTTTTTTTTTTTCCTGCCACCGCTGGGGCTCCAAAATCACCACATGCGGTTAGCTCTGAAATGAAAGTCAGCGCCTCCAGGATCTTCTGCACCCTGAGCAGCTCCTGGTCCTCAGCGCCCTCGCCGAGCCAGTCCCGAACCAGGACCTCGATGGCCGCGAAACGCCGATGGGGGAAACGCCTACTTGGGGGCCATGTGGTTTTTTGCCATGGGAAAGCCTTCCCACCGCTGCCCCAGGAACCCGCGGGACAACTCCAACTCGGACTTTCCCCAAACTCGGACTTGATCCATGTGTTGTGGTGGCAGTTGGAGAGACCTAGAAATGCAACTTGAAGCGACCCGGCTTCCTCGGCCGAGCCACAGAGAAAATCAGGGTATACCGTATAGCCAATATCCAAAGAGCGACCCAACTTTCCTGTCGTAAAAGTGGGTCCAACCCAAAAGAGTCCTCTACGAAAGGTGGCATTTGGGGTCCATGTTCATCGGTAGGTACGCAAAAATTATGGCTTTACACTCCTACAAACTTCCATGGCGCCCCAAAACCGTCCTTCCTTCTAGACTTTTTGGGGGCCTCCTTTTTGGGGACCTCCTTTTTGGGTTTTATGTCATTTTGCAGGGGAGCAGATTCCGGCCCCCAACTAACAATGATGCCGGTGTTCCTTATATAAACATGCCACTGGCAGCTTCCGCTCAACTCCTGATCCACGTTCAGTGAACGCGAACATAAATGACACGAAAAGTGATCGATCACGGGGGGACAATCTCCTGGCTCAGGACTGCCGCAGGTTGGATTCTGCGGAACCACCAGCCAGTACCCTTAGGACTCGTGGCGTATGGAACTGATGGGCCAAGGCCAAAAAACATAAAACGCGGAGAAAAAAAAAAACTCGGGAGCCTCGCGCAAAGGTTTCCACCCGAAGTAATTCTCTGGAGGAGCATTCCCAATCTCCCCTAGGAACCAGTACTTGCGCGGAAAAAAAAAATGGGGAAGAAAAAAAACATCCCAAAGGAGGCTCATGTTTGAAAGAACTAAAGAAGGGGCAAATCAGCGGTACCGTAAGAACCCTGAGCCAGTAAGTATTTAAAACCTTGGTCAAGCCCTTCAAGAACGTTCTGAAACATAACGTTCTTGAAGGGTATGTTTAAATCCTGAGTCAACAAGTATCACTTACATGTGTTTCCACCGGCAAGTAAGATATAAGGGCCTACATCATATTGGACTTGGTGTGTGTGTGTGTGTGTGTGTGTGTGTGTGTGTGTGTGTGTGTGTGTGTGTGTGTGTGTGTGTGTGTGTGTGTGTGTGTGTGTGTGTGTGAGTGTGTGTGTGTGTGTGTGTGTGTGTGTGTGTGTGTGTGTGTGTGTGTGTGTGTGTGTGTGTGTGTGTGTGTGTGTGTGTGTGTGTGTGTGTGTGTGTGTGTGTGTGTGTGTGTGTGTGTGTGTGTGTGTGTGTGTGTGTGTGTGTGTGTGTGTGTGTGTGTGTGTGTGTGTGTGTGTGTGTGTGTGTGTGTGTGTGTGTGTGTGTGTGTGTGTGTGTGTGTGTGTGTGTGTGTGTGTGTGTGTGTGTGTGTGTGTGTGTGTGTGTGTGTGTGTGTGTGTGTGTGTGTGTGTGTGTGTGTGTGTGTGTGTGTGTGTGTGTGTGTGTGTGTGTGTGTGTGTGTGTGTGTGTGTGTGTGTGTGTGTGTGTGTGTGTGTGTGTGTGTGTGTGTGTGTGTGTGTGTGTGTGTGTGTGTGTGTGTGTGTGTGTGTGTGTGTGTGTGTGTGTGTGTGTGTGTGTGTGTGTGTGTGTGTGTGTGTGTGTGTGTGTGTGTGTGTGTGTGTGTGTGTGTGTGTGTGTGTGTGTGTGTGTGTGTGTGTGTGTGTGTGTGTGTGTGTGTGTGTGTGTGTGTGTGTGTGTGTGTGTGTGTGTGTGTGTGTGTGTGTGTGTGTGTGTGTGTGTGTGTGTGTGTGTGTGTGTGTGTGTGTGTGTGTGTGTGTGTGTGTGTGTGTGTGTGTGTGTGTGTGTGTGTGTGTGTGTGTGTGTGTGTGTGTGTGTGTGTGTGTGTGTGTGTGTGTGTGTGTGTGTGTGTGTGTGTGTGTGTGTGTGTGTGTGTGTGTGTGTGTGTGTGTGTGTGTGTGTGTGTGTGTGTGTGTGTGTGTGTGTGTGTGTGTGTGTGTGTTGTGTGTGTGTGTGTGTGTGTGTGTGTGTGTGTGTGTGTGTGTGTGTGTGTGTGTGTGTGTGTGTGTGTGTGTGTGTGTGTGTGTGTGTGTGTGTGTGTGTGTGTGTGTGTGTGTGTGTGTGTGTGTGTGTGTGTGTGTGTGTGTGTGTGTGTGTGTGTGTGTGTGTGTGTGTGTGTGTGTGTGTGTGTGTGTGTGTGTGTGTGTGTGTGTGTGTGTGTGTGTGTGTGTGTGTGTGTGTGTGTGTGTGTGTGTGTGTGTGTGTGTGTGTGTGTGTGTGTGTGTGTGTGTGTGTGTGTGTGTGTGTGTGTGTGTGTGTGTGTGTGTGTGTGTGTGTGTGTGTGTGTGTGTGTGTGTGTGTGTGTGTGTGTGTGTGTGTGTGTGTGTGTGTGTGTGTGTGTGTGTGTGTGTGTGGGGGGGGGGGAACTTTTGCCGATGGGAACGATCTAGGGATCTGCGATTTTCTTGGGCGCCAGGCGGAGCCCGTGGGGTGGAGCACGCAGGACACGGGGTTGTTGTCCACCAGTATCTGCCACGTTTCAAAACGAGAAATCGAGCGGTGCGAAATCGACAACGAGAATTGGAAGGACAGCGAGAAAAAAGCATCCCCGATTTGGCTTCCTTCATTCCGGAATCCCCAGCTTCATTCCCTCATTCCCCACTGAGCACCAGCAAGAAAAAGGCCAGGTAGGGAACAAAAATCGGGCTCGATGGGGAGGGGTTTGTCTCTGAAAATAGGGGGTGTGATTTCCCTGCAAAACCAGTCTCTCCAAACCTCAGAGGTTTGTTAGTTGGGAATCGCACTTGTCACTTCCGTGGACTAGGCACAAGAAGCCCGAACTGTTGTTCACCACTGAAATGGTCTTCCAAAAAATTGAAGTGCATGAACTCAGGCAGTGAGATTTGGTCACCACGATCCCTCTCGCGGATTGATACTCTACATGATTCGCTACCATGTCCTGACCCAAGATCTGCTAGCTCCGAGGGGCTCCCTCTTCAACGGCAATTTGTTGGTTGATACCCCCAGCTCCGCGGCTCCCTTCCAACCAAAACAACCTTGGGGGTCAGTGCTACAGGGCTCCCTATGTTTCCCCTCAAAACATCACCCCCACCAAGGGGCACTCACCTTTCATGGGCCAAAAAGGTGATGTTCAAAATCGCCAAAATGGGAACTATAGGGACCCCTGTGCTACGTCCCCCCTATTTTTGCCCTCCCTAGACTCTTTGCCCCACTCGGACTCCGCGCCCTGCGCCGGAGCCGCTCCGCCAGCGACGCGTCCTCGAGCTTCGAGGGGATCAGCGACATGTCCTGCGAAGCCCACCGGACCGGGCGGGGAACGGACTAGGTCCAGTAGAGAGGCTAGAGTAAGTTGCTACCCTTTTGCTGTAGCCTATCTTAGGGGAACCGAATCTCTCCCAAAAAAGAAAGCAGCCAACAAATCCGTGGCTGACCAGACCCAGATTTCTACAAAGGCCCCTCGACCAAGAGCGTAGCAGGTGGAATTTGAGGGTGGAATCCACTGAGCTCTGCGAGCCATCGGCATCCGCGCGGATCGGCATCCACTCGTCGGCTTACCGAAAGCGAGTTTTTTCGGATCCAGCCTTCAGGAAGAAGCCTGGGATCTGACAGGGCTTGCACTTGTCCCTGGTCAGCACCTGAGCCAAGGGGGTCTAAGAAGAGACCTGAGGCGACCTTGTGAGGGCCGCCGGTTGTCCACATCGTGGAATTGATCAGAGAGCGAGTTGAACCATAGCTGCTTGATGGTGTGGCTTTGAGGCAACCCCAATTTGTGGTCCTTACACAAACCTAGAAAATGAGGGCTGATGGCTGATAGCTAACGGTAAACATGGAGGGAATTGAGCAACACGGTCTCCCGTCACCTCAGCTGAATGATCCAGGGGCACTCACCACGCTAGGGATGCTCTCGGAGGATTCCTTCGCGCCTTCTTTTGCGAGCAGCTACCGAGGCCAGGAAAGCCAAGCACCGGCAGAAAGAGTTTAGACCTCCTATGAAGGGGGAGGTGGCCGAAGGAGAGTTGAAGGTCAAGTGGCCGATACGCTCCATATAAGGAGCGACACAAATCGCAGAGCCCTATCCAGGGCTACCAATTTGACAGAAAAATCGTGCTATGGACGTAGACACTGTTGCCATTCCTGCCGCTTCAACCAGGCCAGTGCCAGCAAAGCCTCCAAAAGCCAGAGCATCCATTCTGGCTGACGAACCGAGTATTCCAATACAATACTTGCAGGATGCTTGTAGGAACCCATTAATGTTAGATAGCAAGTAGTATAAGGGGAATGAATACAGAAAAAACAATATCAAAATTATTCACTCTCCTGAAAAGCAAAAAGGGTAGGTATTACAGAAAAACATCGAAATCCCGAAAATATGATCCCTTCCAAGAATGGACTATTTCTGAGGGTTGAAACGGTTGAGTCCAACGCCACGCTCCTCCCAGTCCCAGCAGCTCCCCACGCTCCAAAGTCACCACACCACACCGCTAAATTGCTTCCTGTCCCAAACCACCAAATTCCTTATCAATCCCTTTCCTAGAAGATGCACCCTGACAAATTTTCAAGGGGGTGGCACACGGAACCCCCAGGAAGGCAATTATGTAGTTTGTTTAAGGGTAGGGAATTGTGCAAAAAAATGGCCAGGCAGCCTGCCAAGAAGAAAGCCCCGCTGTTCTCAGGTAAAGCCAGACATGTCCAGAATCTCTGGATTGCTTCCTGTCCCAAACCACCAAATTCCTTATCAATCCCTTTACTAGATTTTCAAGGGGGTGGCACACGGAACCCCCAGAAAGGCAATAATGCAGTTTGTTTAAGGGTAGGGAATTGTGAAAAAGAAATGGCCAGGGCAGCCTGCCAATTCTAAACCAATTCTAAACCGTAGTGAGCCAGCTCAAAGGAATACTAAACCAATACTAAACCGTCTAAACCGTAGCGAGCCAGCTCAAAGGAATACTAAACCAATACTAAACCAGTTCTAAACAATACTTACTGGAAAACTACTCAGGCAGGTTTCAGTCTGACCCCCATTTGTTTTTGGGGTTTTCGCTATTGACCCCCTCCAATTCGTTTGAGGGGGGGGCCTTTACTAATCACTCTCCAACATTAAGCATTCTTGACAAGCTCCAGACAAAATCTCTCAGGCTTCCCCGCGCGCAAGCCTGCAAAATATGAGTAATATATCCTTGCAAGTCGCCAGATTGTTAAGACCTCCCAACCTCCATCTGGCACGACGCTCCGCCGGTCCATGAAAGCCAGCATGAATGGAGAAGTCACTCCTCCCTTTAGTGCGATCACGGTTCAAAGTGTCCAGACCCTCTGAACGCACAATCCTCAACAGCCTGCTGGCGACCGACTAATTTGCCAGTTGACATGGCCCGTCCGCCCGTCAGGCCCCGGCCCGCATCGCAAAGAGCCGCCCGCCGGGGTCCACGTGGCGCATCAGCGCCTGCGCACCAAAGAACAGTGGGTCCCAAGGAAGGGGGAGGGTCATGCCGCATGGTCGACTCAAAATCGGGGCCTATTTTGCAACCAGGATAACGAATTTCTAGGGTTTAGTTTGAATCGATTCAAAGTGTCCACGGAGGAGATATCCCGTTCCAAATGTCTAGTTCGTTGTTTTTTGGCTTGCTGGCTTGCTCCCCTCCCCAAAAAAGAGCATCAAACACTGAAATATCCGGTCAAAAAGTGCAGCTCACAAGAATGTCCTCCCCGAAAGTGCCCCAAAGTCCAACCAGTAGACAAATGAGCCGCTGTGTTTTAGCTGATTGCCGGGTTTCTTTGGGTAACCACATTTTGAATCCTTTCCAGTTCCGGTTCCAACCCCTGCTCCTTTTCCTTGGTTCCTATTCCTGGCTCCAAAACAATCACAAATAGGTACCCTTTTTGGGACAACCTGGCGGATCAATAGAACTGGGGCTGCAGTCGCCTGCCCCAAAAGTATGGATTGCACCTCTGGGCTCCCATCAACTTCCCAAACGAGCCATAACGGAGTCACCCCAAATCTGGCCGGTATTGGTTTGGATTGGTTTCCCTCCAAAAGAAACCCTCAACGAAAAGACCACATATAGTTAGCCTCCAACTGCCGGCTACCCCGCTTCATGGCCTCTTGGGCCTTAGTGCGACGCCTCTCGAGGTGAACTCCCAATATCATAAGTAAGTTCAGCTCACTTTCCGTAGGGCTCACACTCCCAAAGTCTTGAGCGACCCGGAACCAATAAAAAGAACCTTCTTCAGCTGGCAAAGGGTGAACTGAGCGTGCTCCAATCATCAAAGCTCACGCCCCCCCTCCCCAGCGTTTTTGTGGGAGGGCACCCTGAAAATTCCTTTCTGAAGGAACCCAGAGTCAATTGGGCTTGGCTTTCAAATAGGGGGACCCACAACATGGACGGCTTTCCTTTTGGATTCCTTTTGAAACCAACCCAAAAAGGCTGCCCCCAAAAAAACGACACACCCGGGTTGCAAGGGCTTCGGCCTGGCCAAAGCGAAGCCAACCACTGAAATCCACACGCAGGTTTGCATCTGAGCGAAGCTCTCGCAAGTGCACGACCAACGGTGGTCAATCCCAGCCCAAGATGTCCAACCAAGAAACATCACCTAGGAAGAAATCCGTTCACTTGCAAGTCCTCAGGGAATGAGGGAATTACCCTCTTTGTTATAAACCACCTGGTGGCGTCGGGCCCGACGCCCGCGGCCGAGGCAACGAGGCCTTGGTATAGTTCGGCGTGGAGGTCGTAAAGATCCAGGGGCCTCAGACGAGTTCGAAAGGATGGGTGGGGTCCAATTGTTGTTAAGGGTGGGGGTTTTTTGGATGGCAAAGAGAACCTGAAACGGAACGTTTCAAGGGTCCCTTTATTTTGAGACACGACCATGCGACCCGTTGTCTTGCGGCAGATGTTCGGGAAGAAAATATCGACCTCAAAACCCTCAACGTGTTGAGTGTGAACCACGTATGATGCTCAAACATGAACATCGGTGAAGGCAGGCTGGAACTGTCTGATTCCACAAATCGGGTGGAGTGCAGACTTGCCTTGATCTGTTGAAACTAAAAGGGGTGTCTTTTTTGGGGGAACCACCAGTTGGTTGGTGCTGAACTCTCTCTCAGCACCGAGTTGTCACCAAGCTCTTCACTTGTGGTCTGGATGGCGCTGATCTGGCTTGTGGATGAAGGACTTCGCTCAGCAAGCAAGGGCTTGGGAGTCTCAATGCGTTGCTTTGGCAAGCAGTCACCGGCTTTCGTTGCGAACTTTGGGAAGACGCGCTGTGGAGCCACCTTTGACGCAGCCTTTTTGTTGCCGCGGCTGACCACAGCCTTGTGGCCGATGAGCTTGGTCCACTGCGGTCGCGTTGCGACTGTCAACCTTCTCAAGGTCAGCTCCATGGATGGCCAGACGCGGACATCATCACGACCAGTTCTACAAGGGTTACATTCGACCTCGCCAGGGAGTACCACTGTGGCGAGTTCACGTTTTGCTGCCGACTCGCAGAGCCTCTGCTCCTCAGCCCCCACAACACTTGGGCTTTCTTCTGCCCAGAAGTTGCAGTACAAAACCAATTGGGACACCGGAATTTGCGGGTAGCCGAACTCCTTGGCAGCCTTTGTAGATCGTGATCTCTCTTTTCCTGTCGAGACCTGAGCCTTCGGGGTTTTGTTTCTCCCCTTGGTTGTTAGCTGTACAAGTTATCCGGACCTGCCAGCACCTGACTGACAAAGCTTGGTGCCACCCAGGGCTTCCAGAGCACAGTGACTGGCCACAGTGCTCACGCCGAGCATGTGGCATCAACCGTCCGCGATAAGGGGAAACCATTAGGAAACCAGCAACCCCCCAACGAGCAGAAAGGCTTTGAGGAGGGAGATAAACAACATCACAACTCAACAACAGGGGCCCTCCGGAATGAGAGTGGCCTTCTTTTGGCTTCCCAACAACCACCCCAAAGCCCACCGACAATCAAAAAGCACCCCTTTGCTTCACGCTTTGGGCGCGCCTTTTCCGTGCGATCACATCCTCTGCGAGCCGCACTCAAGCGATGTTCAGAGCTCCGGTGTGCGATTTGCTACTCAGGAGCCGGGCGAGAGAAGCCGCAACGGCACAAAGGAGCTGCCAAAAGATGTGAACCTTTGGTTTATGTCTCTGCTCTACTTTGTGGTTTTCCTCCTGCGAAGCTTGTTGCTTACCAAACAGGGCCAAAAGGAGGGCAGTCCTCGTCGGCCCCCAATGCCCTTCCTGATTAATTAGCATTTTCCCTCAGTTGCTCATTTGGCTGCCAAAAAAGGGAGGACGGTTTGGGGGAATTCGGATCATAAACCCTACCCATTGCCGGCCCAGAAGTGGTGCACTACGGGCCAAAGCCAGTAGAAGGGGTTGTCAGGTACTTTAAAACCAAGCTAAGTCAAGTCGTGACATGGGGGCAAAAGGCTAGCAATCATCTATAGGTCCTCATATTGCCAGTCTTCTGCACCCGACTCCAGGTCACTGCGAGTGGATGGTCTTGGCTCCAGCTCTGCCAACAGCAACATCCCGCGTAAGGAGGGGGTGGGGAGAATTGGTCCCCAATGAACGTTTTCGAGCCTCTCAGCCGGGAAAACGTCTCACTGCAAATGGAATCAGCCTCCAAAACTGCAGTTTCCCCTTCGCTTCCTGTCGAAACAAGACGGTGGCTCCAAAAAAACCAACCTCAAATCCCCCCCCCCCCCCAATCCACCTTTCTTAAAACGGGCCCGGCGCGGATGCAGCCGGTGGCCACAAGTCTGAGAAGTCGCCACGAACCGCTCTAGCTGGAAAATGGGGCAGGGGTGGCATGGGGCTTTTTGCGCCTTCGCAAGTGGTCGCTTGCCATGAGACCCCAAGTGTCAGAGCCGCCATGAGCCCTCATTGGAGCCAAAGCCAGAGCAAAAAGCAAACCAAAGGAGGCCCAAGGAAACAAAGACAAACAAAACAGAAAGACAGCGGAAAACCAAAGTTTTAAAAGTTTGACTACCTGTTGCCTGGGAACGCTCACAAATCAGCTGTCCCATTTCCGCTTTCTTGCCGCTGTGGAAAGCCGAAGGATCATAAAACGCGGATCGAGGCCACCGTCAGTTGGAACCCAAAACGTCCTTCACCGACCGGAGTTTTTAAGCCAAAGGTAACATGGGTCGGTCTTCTTTTGATGCTGGTTTCTGTGGTTTTAAAGGGAAACCAAGAGGAAAACCAACATTTTGGAACGTCCCCTACTTGAAAAACAGACATACCCACATGGCCAGATGCTCATTTGTGCAGCAAGATTGCTCCCAAAATACGAAATCAGCTTGAAGTGGCCAAACATGGCCAACCATTGACCTTTGTTCGCAAGAATTGCCTCCTCGTCGGCAAAACTGGGCCAAAGTTCATCAAACCCCTGGCAAAACTCTCAGAAATCCTTGGCGAACGAAATACCCGGTTGTGGGCCAAGACTGGGCCAAAGTCCGTTTGCAGCTTCCGTTGCTCGCGATCGGAGTGCGACGAGAGGTTCAGCTGCCCGGTGCTCGGGTCAAAAGTTGGAAGCAACGCGGGGCCAACGAGGACTTCCTTTTAAACATGTTTCAGGCACTGCGGAAAGCAGGCCGAGCAAGGGAAATAGACATCAAACAGACTCATTCAGCTTTCCTTCCTCTCAGGCGTGCATGGCGCCCAAGGTCCGGAGACTGAATGGTCCGGAGACCAGAGTTGGTCCGGAGACCTGGTCCGGCAACGGGTTGTATAAGTTCCGTGTGGCTATCACCCCCTGCCTAAAAGTTGAACCCTCTAGCCAGCGGGAAATCCATATTTGCTAAGGTCAATGGAGATAAAGGGCTTTGCGTATCTTAATGCTTCGCTTCCCCCAAAGATCAGAGAGAATACAAGCGGGTCTGTCTTATTTGAGGAAACCCCATTGCGGTTGGTGTTTAAAGGGAACCAGAAGGAAAACCACCACATTCAAGTTGATTGCGCAAGTTTGCCCCACCCTGCTTGAAAGTCCTACTACGCGCTTTCTCGGAGAGGGCATTCTCGATGCGATTTGGTACCTCGGATAGCGCTAGAAGGAGCAACGAGAACACTCCTGTTTTGCCGCGCGCAACGGAAACACTCACACACAACCTGAGTGTTTCTGGTCAAAAGAGTACGAGTACCAAAGACAAGGCTGTTCCCTAACCCAAATTGGATGAAAATGAGCCTCCAGGTTGAAGCTTGAAGAGAGCCCCAGTAAGGTGGGGGTGTGGGCGGGCGGGCGGGCGGGTGGGTGGGCAGGCGGGTGGGCGGGTGGGTGGGTGGATGGGCGTGGGTGGGTGGGTGGGTGTGTGGAAGTATGGGTGGTGGGTGTCTGTGTATGTGTGTGTCTCTGTCTATATCTCTGTCTGTGTCTCTGCGTTTCTCTGTCTCTGTGTAACGCCAAAGAAATCCACAAGGCTACTGCCGAACTCATGCCGAAATCCTGCTTCCTTTTTGGAGGAGCGCGCCAGCGGGACCTCCCCAAAAAAGAAAGGCCGCCTTGTCTTCGGGTCTTCGAAGGGCAAGACAACCCACACCTCCTCCAGCATCCGGCTGAAGAGCAAAGTCTGATTCTATTCCCATGGATGGCGGTATGAGGATGCTGGACGAAATGACTTCGTGTTCAAAAATGAAACGTTTCCCCTGGTCGCTGAGCGCATGTTTTGTGTTTGTGTGACGAGTTTGGGGGTTGTCCCCCATACCGTGGACCACCACTCATATTGTCAATGACTCGGGCGAGAATTGTGAGCAACATATTTAGACTCATCCAAAGTCATCATCTAATTAGGGCGGGACATTGGTTGACGCAATCAGACCATGGCCCCTTTAATGGCAATTCCGACTAGGATAAGTTAACACCAGTTGTTCCATGGTTCCCTTTGGGTGGTTTCAACACATCTTCTTCTGGGACAGTTCAAAGTGAGGTCTCCTTCTTTTCCAGATCAAGAGCCTGAAGAGCCTACCGGGTGGTTTGCCAAGCCCTGCAAGTCGGGGTCCTGACTCGATATGCTCATGTCACTCTGAACGAATCCTCTAGCTTTTTAATTTTAAAGGAGCTTCCACCGCACTATAAGTCACTATCACACTATCTGAGTGTTTTTTAGGGGACCCCCCAAAGTAGTGGTTTTCCTCTTGGTTTCCCTTTAAACCCACCCGAAAAAGGGCGCTCGCAAAGGCTAGACCCATCATTCACCTTCACCGACTCAAAGGCACCTGCATCCGTGGAATCGCTACCCCCATGAGCTCACAAATGTGCAGATCGCGAAAGAAGTCCTCAAAGGGATGCTTGACATGGACATGTTGAGGGGTTCTCAAAATTACATTTGGGGTGGTTTCCCTTTAAGCTGCCACATTTTAGAGGCAAAGTCTGACGATGTCGCTTTCACGGATACAGTTAAAACCGCTTGCACTTGTGAACTGGCATTTGGGATCCAGAAAGACCCACGGCTTCCCCAACCTCCCAACTTGCAAGGCCCTCAAAACACTGATCTTGTTTGGCTCTTGGCCGCTGAGCAATTTGGGTGTCCCCAAATGGCTATGGGTTCCTTTCAGATGCTACACACATATGATTGTCCTTTGGGTCAAGCTGGAACCCGTTTATTAGAACGCATTTGGGGGCCTCCTGGCAAAGCAAACGATTGCTTCCCCTCTTCCCCTCCCTCTTCCCCTCTCCCGCTTCCCATAAACGCAAGCTGCGAATGACGTGCGGCAGGGCGATCACCATGCTGTGGTCTTGCGGGTCCATGACCCCTCGCCAGCCAGCTACTCCCTTGATGAACATGGGAATGAGTATGGGTATGGGTTTCAGTCCTTGTTCCCATTTAGGGTACCTATTTGTTGACCCACATGGAACCCAGTGATCGGATTTAAGAGAACTTCTCTTGGGGGGGGGGGGGGGCACTCTTGTGGACCAAAAACTACCTTGCCAAACGATGCTCGACAACGGGGCACCCCTGGGAAGATCTGCGATAGCTCTCAAGACATGGACTTCAGGCAGCCAATTCCCAAACCAACAAATAACTGCAAGTCATGTGGTCTGAAGAGTTGCTTCTACTGATGAAGATGTAGCCCAACAAATTCATGAAGAAGAGTCTTCTCCTGAGGGACGTGACTTAAAATCCATGTTACACAATTTGCAGGGGAGTATCCAAAATACAGCCTCCGCAAATCCCATATTCTCACTAGGGCGTCCCAAATCTTGGGTACCCCGCAAGAAAATGATGCTTGAGAAGAATGATTGCGGAATCAACACCTAGACAAATAAAGTGCTGGCGTGTGTTTTGTTTTTCTTGAGAAGCAAACACAACTGAGCGGGTCTTCTCTCAGCTTTTGTTTTCAAAAGATCTGAGAAGGGATTCCGGATCCAGCCGTGAGTCAAGCACCAAAACAAGATCGATGATTTTCTTTGGACGTCTTTGAAAAAGAAACAAACACAATATGTCCGTAATGCTGGTGAATTGCAATCCATCTAAACTAACGCCGACCCTGAGAGTCTTAGCACAAATGAGACAAGCAGCAACACAGACGCCTCGGTTCCACGTATTTTTTGGGGCATCAGAAACACATGGCTGGATCTATCTCAACGAACTGTTGAGCTGGTGTTCCAACCATTCAATCTTAATCCTTGTGGGCATCCCTTGCAAGGGATGTATTTCCCTGCAAATTAAAATGGAACTCCCCAAAAAGGGGTTGCCTCTAAACATGGTGCGTTGGGGACTCCATGTTCGAGTTTATCTTCAACCTTTCTTGGTTTCATGTTCCCGCCTCGACATGTCTCAACCGACGGTTCAAGTTCAAAGCCCCTTCCCACCCCATCCTGTGATGATGAACTCGTTCGTCGCCTCCACCTGCGGGTGACTGAAGCAGCCAAGCAAACCAAACAACCAAACATCCTGCTAGCACCCGTAAAAAGTGAAAGCAACAGCGCTTAGAAGGCGGACGCTCATGCAATCCGATTATTATTATTTTTTTTAAAAAAAAAAAAGAAGAAACAAAATGTGAACTTGTTTTGACACCCTTTTGAGAGTAGCCCTGAGTTGAAGATTCCAACTTCACAATACTGGGCCATCAACAAACGGCTGATTCCTCCAAGCAACTCATCTCAGCCATGGACACTCGCCCGACTCTTGCTGATCTCTGCGAAAAACGACCAGCATATACAGGTCCTTAAGTATGACTGGTTCAGCCACTGTCACCCAGAGCACGGCTGGCAACCAAACTCTTTTCGGCCAAGGGGTGCTGCATTCCGTGACACAGGGAAACATAAATAGCCCCCAATGACTACCGATAACGCCAAAGGGCAACTCTTCCCTATCATAGAAACATCGGTGTGTCTCACCTACAAATCATACGTTTAATCTCTGCTCATTACGTAAATCCCAAGCCCACCTGGCCCAAGGCGCTGCTTCAAACCACCCTACGATTCCAAAACCTGAAATAGGAATTGGATTCCGGTCCTCTTACCTCCTTTGCCTTGCTGGTGATCAGCAGGGAATGTGGGATGACCCCAATAAACCATCCAACTGGTGATTTCCTTTCGGAGGGGAATCCCCAGGTTCAGTTCAACTCATTCCCTACTTATCTCACCAGCAAGTTACTTGGACTGAACCAAGATGGATCCCCCGGCCGAATCCATCCTCGTCGCATCTCGCCTCCTCCCAGCTCCGTTTAGCGCACTCCGGGGACAACAAATCCGCGGACTTGCACTTGGCCTCGGATCTGAAACACATGGCCAGGAAAATGTCGTGTTTTTGGGGTAGACAATGGCCAGAACATGTACTTATGTTTTACTGCATGAATGTGTGTGTGTGTGTGTGTGTGTGTGCGTGTTGCCTATTCATGTTTGCCAAAAAGTGGTTTGACATGTATTTAAACATATGTTTTACAGTTTCTTTGTGGTATAAAAGAACGGACCGCAACTTGGGACTTGCTGCTTTGGAGCACCTCCAAAGGGGCCTGAGACGGGCCCGTTGATTGGTTGCAGGCAAGCACACCGGAATGACTACTCTCCCGCCCCTCGGTTGGCTTTAGTTGGTCGTGTTGCTTGCTCTTTGGCAACAATGTGGGTGGCTCGTCTTTTTTGAGGCTCCCCTTTTGGTTAGGTGATAAGGGAAACCAAAAGGAAACCAAGTTTTGGGGTACTAAAAAAGACACACCGATGCAACTGGGTTGGTCCAAGAGACCTTCCTAGGAGCATTGAGGCAGCGTGTGCTGCTGGCTCGTTAACGCTGAGCCATCAGGAAAGAGCCATATATCGCTGTTTTTTTTGGTGAACACGCATGCTCGCATGTTCGGTGCCCGTGCCCCATGAAAAGGCAAACACGCAAACACCTCATGTTCCCAAGGCCCGCTTCAAAACTTCAAAAGGAAGCCCTCTAATCTTATAACGGAATTAAAGACAGGACCCTTCGACACATCCTCTTACTGTAAGTTTGTAGGGTATCTGCACCTAATTCATTACTCATCTCAGATTAGGTTTGGGGGACCCTGCCCCTACCAAAACTGAGTGGGTCTTCCCCCCTGAGCAAAACATGTAACCTTTTGGGCTTCAATGGGAGCTCTAATTATTTCCGAAATATCCTGCCGAGTTTCTTCCGGACCGGCCATGAAGCAAACAAATAAACATTCCTCAGGGCTCCGTCGGCCCTCAATTTATAGCTTCGCGGCATAGATGAGGTGGAAGTGCGCGTGGTCCTTCACGTAGATGCATACCTCGTGTGGGAGATATGGAGCTGAGAAAACCAGCTCCACAACCCAGCACAAGGACAGCAAATTGGTCGCTGCTGAAGGGAAACCAAGGGAAACCAAACCCTAATTGGACCTTTTTGGTTTAGTCACCGTTTGAAGGCCGGCACAAGTGCCTTCTCGGCCAGAGAAGTCCCTGAGACACTTGCATGACTCGGTCAGTTGGTTGGCCTGGTTGGTGGTTGATTGATTGCCTTGGTTGCCTTGGATTCGTTGCTTGGTTGGCTGGCTGGCTGGCAGGTTGTGTAGGCCACACTCCTCGCAGAGTGGCGTAAAGGCCACCCACCTTCCTCCTCCCGGCTGCAGTCAAGCTGCCGAGGCGAGATTGCTCGGCACCCTCAGAGCCGCAACATCGGGCACAACCAAACAATGCGACGGCGCAGGCAGGGAGATGGATAACGGCTTCGTGGCCACAAAAAGCTTTGGAAAAGACCCAACGTTTGCTGCGGAACCCTGCGGAACCCTCGTGGAACCCTGCGGAACAGAGCCTATCTGGGCTGAAACCCCAAAACTTTCAGCTGTTGGGGAAAAACTCGCGCAGTTTCTGCTCAGTCTTCCCGAGTCTTCCCCTCCCAATCAGAAAGCATCGGATTCCTGAATTCGAAAGCTTGGAAACTGGTACGCCGTGCTCGGTTCGGCTGTCAGAGCCAGCCCTGAGCGTCAGGGACCGGAAATGCCTTGACAAAAGAACGCAACTGGCGATTGCAGTGTTTTTCCTGCTTGGAGATGGATTTATCAGAGTTTGCCTTTCGGTCCCTTTACTTTGAGGGGGGTTGCTGTATTTCCCCAATTCCAAAAGGTGGCCCTCTGGATCCAAAAGGAGATTCTGTGAACAACGGCTCAGGCGTTTCGGGTTCTTCCTGCTTTGAATGGGCTAACGTGACCTGTTGAGCCGCTGGGTGGTTGAGAGCTTTGAAGACGCGGCCTTTTCAGCCTGTGTAGTTCATCCCTCCAGGAGGTATGCTACTCCAAACTTGCCGACCAAAGGAGGCCAAACCAAGCAAATTTGGTTTCATGTTGGCAACATGTACGGTGCTCTCTCTCTCTCTAAATTCGTCTCGGCAAATGTTCACAACGGACCTCACAAATGGGTTGGGCTTGCGACACATGTCGGGCTCCATGATGAGTAGTCCCCTTTCATGGGGAACCTTGTTGGGGTGGCTCTGTATGTGTATATGTATATATCTACATATATCACGCAGACAAGCGTAGGTTTCCTCAGGCATGGAACCCCAACCTCGACCCAAAACCAGCAGTTGGATCGAACTTGCCGCCTGGGCTTGCCTTTTGGTCACGGTCGGGTCAACCGAAAACTTAGCTTTCAGAACCGACCCCTTCCCACATCCCTGGTCTCTGGTTGGGTTGGAAGTGTGACCCCGGATTGACAAACCCGTCCTTGTAGAGTGTTCCCTCCAGTGGTGCACGTCCACTAACAGGGGGACGGGGTTCCCACTTACCATAGAGCCAAAAATGTAAGCAACACTCCAGTTCAGGTATCCAACGACTCACTAGACCTGCCACGATGTGGGGCCGGTTGCTGTAGCAGCGCATGATTAGTCAAACATATGGGGAGGGGTTGCTTCAGCTGAGGCACTTGGCATACAAAATCCCAGCACCTTCTGGGCATTTTGAGGACAACCGAAGAACAATCTGGCAAAAGACATGGGCTTGTCTCAAATAAGGGAATCTCCCAACACAAAATGGATTATTGTTGTCTTCCCTTTAAAAACCAACCAAAAGAAGGCTCCCCAACAAAGAACGACCCATATGTATCATCTTCTCTGCTGCCGAGGCACACGTAGGTCACGTCCGCCTTGTAGGTGAGTG